CGGTCCAGTCGAGCGGGTGCGAGCAGGATTCAAAGTCCGCGAGCAGGGTGATGTTGCAGGAGAGGGAGGGGAGCAGGGAAGCCGGGATGGGGCTGAAGCGCGTGTCTTCGAATGCGGAGGTTAGAGCGTAGGTCTGCAGGCCGGAGGCGATGGGGAGCGGGTCGAAGGTGCCGATGCAGCCGCGCAGGGATTTGTGCGGTGTGCCAGTGCCGCTGCTGGGGCGGTGGGAGAGGGTGTTCCAGGTTACGAAGAGGGGGTAGCTTGCTGTTTGGGAGAGGCGCGAGCTTTCCAGAAAAAGCTTGCAAGTTTAGGCATTGCCCACGGCGCGGCTGTCTCCATAGCGCTTCCAAACACGTACGAATTCATCGTTTCCTTCCTAGCAGCAGGATTGCGAGCTCGGTGTCGATGCTTGGAGGCGGGAAATGCTTGGGATTTGAGGTCTTGCCGGAGGCGGTTGTGTTGATGAAGTGGAGTCTTGTTCTATGCTCCCTCTGCTCTCGTCTTCTTCATCTTCTTCGTCCAGGCCGTCTTCTTCGTCGGTTTCTTCAGCGTCTTCACTGTCTTCCATTGCCGGGTCCTCTTCTAAGGGCTGCCCCTCTGGTGTCTCATTGCTAGGCTCGTCTTCGGATGGTAGGCTGTTCTGGTGATCCTCCCATAGTCTTTCGACTTTGCCCAGCGTAGGAGGATCTCGATTCTCGAAGCTGGCTGACAGACACTCAAAGCAGTAGAGACATTGAGCTTGGGACGCCATCAAAGATGCTGCTGCGCGGAAGCTACTACGAGAAGCTGTAGATCGCGGCGGAGAGCTACCAAAGACGAAAGTGAGGCAGATGAACGCCTAGGCTGACGTGGTAGCCTATTTACCACCAAATTGTTCTGGGTGGCCAATCACTTGTTCAGCTGCAAGTGGAAGCGCCAGAGCAGCGAGAGCAGCGAGAGCAGAGCAAGCAGAGCATGGTCAGAAAGCACAGAAGCTCCGTGATGATTCACTAGCAATGACTCGGCCCAGGGAGGCGTTCGGAAGACTCGTGGCGAAGTGCAAGAGGAGGTTGGGAGACCCCGAGGCGGTTAAGCGGCTGAGTTACTACCATGTCAGCAGTTAACCTCCACCTCATACGTAGTAGACACCACTGGGCTTGGCATGGATGATCAAGGGTCCAGGGTCCGGAGGTCCTCCGGTCCAGCCTCTAACAGGCGTCCATAGGGCTGAGCCCGAAGGGGCCGAAGGGCCCAGATCCCAAGTCCAACCCCATTCTGCTGTCCATACCTAATACTGCTCCGTACCTCATAACCACTTGGATATCTACTACTATTGGGTAGCGGGCTTGGTACTATCACCACTACGAGCTCGTCCGGAATAATCATCATTGGCATATGCAGTAAGTTAATTGAAATCACTCTGTAAGCATTATCGGCGGCGAAGCGCCCTGGTGGTGTCTCACAAGATTCGTTTCAACCCGGCGCAAACAGTGCACCAGCAGTTGTTTCAACACCACTGTCCTGCAACAAGTGACATGATATAGCCATGACGCTTATGCAGCATGCTCCTCGTGGGGAAATTTGCAAAGAGCACACCGATCCTTGGGGGAGCGCAGTTTCAGTGATGAAGCCCGGTCTGTTACCGAACGATCTTGGGCTTATCGTTTACCGCCAATGCCCTTGACGCTTCTATGCATGCTTGTCGTTTCAACCCTCAGAGCCTGGTTCCTGTTCAAGGACTCATGCTATGCTTCTATATATGCTGATGCTGATGCTGCTTGATCTTGGCAGTGTGATGTGACACCTCAGCACGAGAAGGATACATATACAGAGCGGCTCCCATTTCAGTGCTGCTTCTCCCCCTTTCCCAGCTCCGGATAGCTTTGGTAATCAGTCTTACTCATCACACCTCATCAAATTCATTCCTTTGTCGCCGGCCGACTCCAATATCTCTCAGCACCAGCAATATGAAGGTCATCATCGCCCTTTTCTCTCTCCTGGCCGCCGTCGCCATTGCAGCGCCTGCACCCATTGACGGTCTGCTCGCTTTCACGTCCTTTATACCAGTGTGCTATGCTGACAACTGTGACAGCTCGTTCAGATACTGAGCCAGTTATGAGCGATGGACAAGAAGTAGTCCCTTACCAGAACACCGGCACGCCCGTTGGCTAGTTTCCCTCCTCACAAACCGCGGTCTTCTACCTACGGGTATCGATGGGAAAGCAGGTCGATTCCCTCAAATGGGAACGATCTCTTGGGATGGATGCTGTTGATGAATGGTCCTTTGGATTAGAAATTCATAATCTTGCCTTCATTTCCACGTGTCATTTCTTCGTAGGCTGACGTGAAGCTCATCGCCTGTAGCGCTTGAGGCAATGCTGTCTGTACTTTCGGCGCGTGCCCTTGCTTCATCACCGTCTGTCACGTTTCGCTGGTGGTAGTCCCCATCATCGCTCACCAGTCTTAAGCCTCCGCCCCCTTTGCCTCTGCGCTCCTTCAGTCGAATGACCTCTTCTGCTCTCCGCTTCTCCCACTCTGCAACTAAGTTCTTGTAGTACACCTCTGCCTGGACGGTGATGCTATAGGATTGTGGTGTCCAGCCTTGGTTGTTTCGTTGCAGCGGATCTGCCCCTGCCTGAATCAACGCTCGTACAGCCTTGAGATTGCCCCAGGTAGACGCATAATGTAGGCAGCCATTTCCATTGCTGTCTCGAGCGTGCACGTCAGCATTATGTGCAAGCAAGGATTCGACGGTGGAGCTATCTTCGGCAGCTTTGGAGGAGATCTTGACGGGTTGCGTTGAAGTAAGGGCAGACGAAGGTGGATGGGCACGGATGGCCAGGTGAAGTGGTGTGGCTCCTTCGTTATTGGCATGATTGATGGTGGAAGGGAAGTGTGAGCAGAGCAGCTCAACGATTTCGGTTTGGGAGTGGGACGCTGCCAGGTGCAATGGCGTGTCACCATCGGTGTTGTATGATGGGCCTAATGTTGTAACAGAGTGCCAACTTATCAGTCCTGTGGTGGCAGGGCCGCTGGTATCATGCCCAAGGGATATCAAGTATTCCTACCATTGGGTCAGAGATATTCAGCAGCTATAAAGTAAGAGCGTAGATACTGCTATCTCTAAACAACCATGCTGAGCAGCAAGATGGAGGGAAGTATTGCTTTTATTGGAGAAGTCCGGATTTTGTAGGTAGGAGGGGTTGTTCTTCAAGACCCGCTTGAACAGCACTGGGTCACTTTGTGCAATGGCCCTGCGCAGGCGAATAGTTACATCAACCCTGGGTATGGATGAGTAGGAGGAACTGGTACGTCGGTTGAGAAGGACTCACATGGTCATGGACTACTAATGGCACCATGTGCATGGTTGCTGCACAGCTTTTGGAACTGCTACGTTGCGAGAAGTCGCAGGCTCAAGTACTGATCGGTGAATGTTGCGGCCACCGGGGAACGGCACCGGGGAAACCTCGGCTGACATTTGGAAGTGCAGCATGATGCAGTCGAAAGAATTTATCTTCAATCGCTCAGGGTACTAACACCGCTGCATTGATCCGGTGCAGTGAAGGCGCAGTGACAACAATCACTTATGTGTCCAATACCGGTTTTTTTGGCGATACGAGTATGAAAGGGCATGTGCTGCTGCACCAGAAGACATTTTTCAACGATTCCCCTCGGCTCTTCTCAACATCGAACATTTGCGCCGAATGTTGTTTGAAGGCCCACCTACCAAGATATTTCCCTTCAACGCGTCGGGCACTGTCTACAAGCAAGCGAAACCATACAGCATGGGGCGCTGCTGTTGCTGCTGTGCAGAATACAGTCTCCGAAGTCCTTCCTCATCGGAAAGCCCCTGCTAACATCACCATCGATCCTTTAAGGATCGTTGCGAAGGAGTTGAAGTTTTTGAACAAGAACATCAGGCAATTACTAGGCTCAGGGCATCCTATACTTGACACGGTGGCCAAGTACTATACCCAGAGCGAAGGGAAGCATGTTCGGCCTCTACTTGTCTTGCTTATGTCCAGGGCAATTGCTGCTGCCCCAAAGCGTACCAGGCGGGACACCCTCATTCCAGACTCTCGCGCAATAGACACCCCAATGTCGCCTCCCAAAGTCCTATACGACGCCAATCCAGATCAAGCTGGTCATACCCCGATCACGGGTCCTTCATATGAAACCGATTATTCATTTCCCAACGACGGTTCGATTTTACCTTCACAGCGACGACTAGCTGAGATAACAGAGCTGATACACACCGCGTCACTTTTGCATGACGACGTCATTGACCATTCTACCCTTCGGCGTTCCGAGCCCTCCGCAAATATCCTCTTTGGGAACAAGATGGCCGTGCTGGCAGGTGATTTCTTGCTGGGAAGAGCGTCGGTCGCATTGGCGCGTCTCCGAGATCCGGAGGTCACAGAGCTGCTAGCCACGGTCATTGCTAATTTGATTGAAGGAGAGTTCATGCAGCTGAAGAATACAGCGCTGGACGAAAAGGAGCCCAGATGGAGCGAAGAAAATGTTTCCTACTATTTACAGAAGACCTACTTGAAGTCTGCAAGTCTGATCAGTAAAAGCTGTCGAGCTGCAGCATTGCTTGCACACAGCGCTCCTGAAGTTGTCGACGCAGCATATGCATATGGACGGAATTTAGGTCTAGCTTTCCAATTGGTGGATGATATGCTAGACTACACAATTAGTGGATCAGAGCTGGGTAAGCCTGCTGGCGCTGATCTAGAGCTTGGTCTCGCGACAGCACCTTTGTTGTTTGCTTGGAAGGAGAGACCGGAACTTGGTCGACTTGTGGGAAGGAAGTTCATCGAGCCAGGGGATGTTGATGAGGTAGATCTCCAGAAGAAACCCCTGCTGCTCGACGTGATTAACCTTGTTATAGGCCCGGAGTATCGTGCTTCAGACTGATGGTCTGGAGCAGACCCGAGCGCTGGCTCAAGAATACGCCGACAAAGCCGTTTCAGCAATAAGTTCTTTTCCACCTGGTGAAGCCAAGGACGGTCTAGAGGAGATGTGTATTAAATTGATGAAGAGAAGGAGATAATCACGACTCGCCACTCCTGAGCAGCGAGCATTTATTTCGTCATGGGGATCTGAGACCGGGGGGCCGTATTCGAGCCAGCTCAGCTGTAAATAGTATAGAGACAATCTCGTGTACAATGGCAAAACATCCAACTCGTATTCGGGGCTCGCGGGTTCCTGGTAAGTTGGACAGAGTTGTGCATCAAAAGTCTTCAATATACGCTGGCTAGGATGAGTAAAAGCTAGCCTTTCTTGTGCTAGCATTATATTAGTCGTCAGTGGGGCCGTAAGGATGGTCAGAGGGGGCTAATAGCTGAAGCTTAACTGATACAGGACCTCTGAGCTACATCAAATAGCCTAAAGTGGGCCCCAAGGGTCTAAAGGAAAGGGGGTTATGATAGCAGCTCTAGGGCACAAACCCCTAGAGTGCATATATTACGTCACGCTAAAGCTTAGACTGAATGTGCTAGTGATGCTCTAGTTTTAGTGTATATTGATGACTTTTTGATGCATAACTCTGTACTACAGGGGGAGACATAAGTATTATTAGTCTGGTGCTAGTAGCGGCTAGTTCTTCTTACTCTGTTGTAGTGCCATGATTTGTTATTACAAGGCTTGACTGAAGTATGACCATTCAAATGAGCTAAAATCTTACTACTAGTCTAATACGGGCTTAGCTGTTTTGTATAAAGAACGTTTTGGAGTAAAGATACTAGCGCTGAACTAACAATACTTCATGGCCCCCCCGTAGTACTCCGTAGTGCAGGCAGTGCAGGCAGTTGATGGAAGAAATGGAAGGCCTCGGCACCATCCCCGAACCTTTCATTTCGGGCATCACACTCAGGTCCTTTCTTTTCCACCACATTTTCTACAGAAAGTGGCCTTGCCTCTTATAATTGAAAACCTGCCGTCTCGACGGGGCGGTTGCAAGCCAGATGAACGTGCCCAACATCAAGGGTCTCTTTCTTGGTTGATTGTGGAGACCCTTTACCAATTTCTCGATTTCCACACAAAGTTATTGTTCATCCTGTAAATCTATTGGCTGATTGTCCTACCATGGCAGCAGGGCCGCATACATTCATGACCGTCAACGTACGTTCAGTTCTACATTTTGGAAATCATGATATGGTCGAGTAAGATCTTTTTCTAAGCGATAGCGTAGGTCTTCACTGCAGAGAAGTTCAAAGGCAATCCGCTCGCTATTGTGGCTGTTCGAGGTGATGCGCTTTCACAAGCAAAGAAGCAATTACTAGCGAAAGAGTTTGGGTTCTCGGAAACCGTTTTCTTGCATGACGCCCCAGTGAGGGGCATGCCGAGACGCCTTGATATCTTCACCCCAGATGAGGAGATCCCCTTCGCTGGCCATCCGGTAGGTTGATATGCGACCGTACATGGGGACAGAAAGCAAAAACATGAATTTACTGATACAGCTTACAGGTCCTTGGCACGGCAGCATATGTATGATCAGGAACAGACATCCAGACCTTCAGAGGAACATTTAGCCTGACTGTGCGCAGATATTCGGGTGTATTGACATACAACCATATACTGGACCAGAAGACCGCGAAAACAGGCAAGCTGCTGTGTTGCTGACGAAGGCTGGTCCAATCACTGTGTTTTCCAACCCCTATCGTCAGGTGCAGGCGTGTATCGTGCCTCACAATGTCCACATCCACCAACACAAGATTACGCTCGATGACATTATTGAAGCGCAGCCCCGATGTCAATTTATCCCGGCCATGGAGATGTTAAAAAAGAGGACGTTCCCTATTGTTAGCATTGTCAAAGGGATGACTTTTGGCTTAGTTGATCTGACAGACGCGCCGGGGGCGATGGCAGTTTTGGGTGCAGAGCGATCTCCAGTTGCGAAATTGGATGAAGGATGGAATGCTGGTTTGGCAGGATGCTTATATTACCGACGAGAGGGCGTTGAGGTGAAAGAAGGAGAGCCGACAATCCACAAAATTCATCAGCGTGTGATGGTGTCTGGAATGGAAGACCCGGGGACTGGTTCTGCCAGCTGTGCTGTGGCGTGCTACCTAGCACTAAACATAGCCAACAGCCAATCCGCCCGGAAGACTCGCTCATTGGGACAGGGCGATGCCTCTCAAACCAACGAGGGAATAGAGGCCAGGACTAGGTCTCTGAGCCTTGGTCCTAAGAAAGAGCACTTCGTCTTTGGCATTGAGCAAGGAGTGGAAATGGGACGTAGGTGTCAAATCTGTGTCGAAGTTGACATTACCCATAACGAAGAGGGACACAGACAAGTCAGTGCAGTCATGCTGAGTGGGAGGAGCACATTTATGACCAAAGGAGAATTAATTGGTGTATACTGAAACATTTGATGGTAGTCTACCCTTCGATAGGATACGTCGTTCTTGGATGAGAGATACGAACCGGGGTTGGAGGCCTGACGATAGGAACTGTGAGACTTGGTTGTACTTGCTGTGTGACTTGCTTCACTCAATGTCCTTAATCTTAAGCGAGATGGCAGCATTCTTTGAGAAGTCTACCAAGTCATGTCCTGCGTAATCGACCACATAGGATCCCCATACAGTGTAAGCTGAATGCAACAGTTTAAACGCCATATGCCATCGATTTCAACGCCATAGAACAGATGGCTTTGCACGATCAAGCTCTGTATCGGGTTGAACGCCATGACGCAGGTCAGAATGATTACCTATCAAACTATTTAGAGGTCATATTTATGTCAGAATGTTTCGTGTAAGCTCCCATCTCGGGGAAATGAGCGCAAGAACCATCATGCATGTATATTACTTCATTCATTCAGCGCTTCTGACTGGCCAGAGAATGGTCGACGAGGGATCACGGTCAATGCGTGGGGGACCTGGTTAGGGACGTTGGCGGTTGGAAGGTTCACGCGTGTGTCATGCATTCATACTCAAAGGTAGGTACCAGGGCCACGGTTGACGTGATGCACAGATCAAGATCTCAGGATCCTGGCTCCAGGAGGATAATGCTGTATTTGTCAGGATTGGGGGGAGTGTTTCTTTCGTTTCTTGGGCGGCTGCAGGGAATCAAGGCCAAGGCCAAGGCGCAGGCGATAGAAGAAACACTTTAGTCAGCGTGTCAGCTTGCTACTACTTATGGGCCTAGCGTCTGCGGCATTAGCGGCGCCAACGCTGTGCCCCCTCCAAGGCCCACTAAACTAACTTGGGTCTCATCCTGGGGCTTACTTCCGACGCCGTCGAGACACTCGAAGCTTCATCCTCTACCCAACCTCAACACCGCGATCCTGCAATCTGATCACTGCAAACCGCCTTGCTCAATGATCGTTCCAGATCTCCTGGCAGTGGGTGCATATGGAAACCAATCGCTCCATCCTTGACACCGCGTCTCTGCGTTGAAACCCTCCATCCCTCACCTCGAAACCTCCATGGATAGTCATGTCCCTGCTGGTCATGCAAAAACAGGCCCAAACACCATCTGCTTCTGACACGATGCTCCATATCGTGCCAAGATTATCCATAAGACCAGAGGTTTCTGCTCTTCTAATCAAAACCAGCCCTCAGTGACCTCTATCTTTTCCCTTTCAGCTCGCATGCACCATCACTCGTAGGGTTGCCTCTCATTCAACCCTCCCTTCTTTCACGTTTTTCTCGGACACGTTGATCGTGTTTCCATTTTTCTCATCAGTTTATACTGTGTAATCTTCTATCTGCTAGGCCGGCTTAGCAATTTTTCGTTCTTTCTACCGATCCTTTCCTACCTTTGCGCAAAGATGATCTTTAATAAGGCGATCCTTCTCTTCGCCCTTTCGGCCGGGCTACTTGATGTAGCTACCGCCCAAGGCAGGCAAGGTGGCAATGAAGTAGCTGCAGCTGGTCAAAATGGAGCAAATGCTGGAGCTGGTGGTGGTAATTTTACAGCCGGTGCTATCAAACCTCCATTTGGTAACAACACTGCAGGTGGTGATAATGGTGCTGGTGCAAACAACGCGAACGGTGTCAATAGAGTTGCCAACGATGCCAATGGCGCCAACGAGAACGAGGCTGCTGATGGCCAGAACGGTGCAAATGGCCAGAACGATGCAAATGGCCAGAACGGTGCAAATGGCCAGAACGGTGCAAATGGCCAGAACGGTGCAAATGGCCAGAACAACGCAAATGGCCAAAACGATGCAAATGGCCAAAACGCCGCCGGTCAGGATGGAGCCGACGGCCAGAACGCAGCTGCAGGTCAGAACGCCGCAGGACAGGATGCCGCCAATGGCCAAAACGCCGGTGCCGGTGCCAATGCTGGTGGACAGAACAACGCAAATGGCCAAAACGGCGCAGGACAGGACGCCGCCAATGGCCAGAATGCCGCAGGACAGGATGCCGCCAATGGCCAGAACGCCGGTGCCGGTGCCAATGCCAATGCCGGTGGGCAGAACAACGCAAATGGCCAAAACGCTGCAGGACAGAATGCCGGAGCAGGTGCTGCAGCTGGGGAACTTGCCCTCGATCCTGCCAACATACAGGAAGCTAGTAACAATGACGGTAATGCGAACGCAGAGGAAGGACAATCACCATCGATAACGTGAGAACGACTCCATTTGGAAACTTACTTCGACTGACGATTGTGTAGTGATCCGGCTAACTTTATCAATTTCTGTTCTGGCAAAACTCCGACCAATGGTCAACAACTCGAGGGAGGCTCATGCAACGGAATCGGTGAGTCCATGAGTAGAATCTCGTCTGGAAGCCGTTAAAACTGACGTGGCCTCTAGTTATGGGGGATATTCCTGCTAAGGACAACATGGTTTCTAGTATGATCACGTTTCCGGAACCAGGGCAAGATATTGCAGCAGACGAGGATTTTGATATCACTGTTCAGGTTAACAATCTACAAGCTGGCACGTTTACCAATCCGGATACTACTTACTATACTGCTCCTCAACAGCTTCAGGGCGGTATTATCGTTGGCCATACACACGTTACAGTCCAAGATCTGCAAGGAAACCTGAACAGCAAAACTCCACCCAACCCAGCCACCTTCTCGTTCTTCAAGGGTATCAACGATGTTGGTGATGGTAACGGAGGACTCAGCGCCACCGTGGCTGGTGGTTTACCCGCGGGCACCTACCGTGTCTGCACCATGACAGCCGCTTCCAACCATCAGCCTGTCATCATGCCTGTACGTCTTCAAATCTTGTCTCAGCTTACGACCATTTTCTAATTTGTTTTTAGGTTGCTCAACGTGGTGCACAAGATGACTGCACCAAATTCACTGTTGGTGGTGTAGGCGCCTTGAACGCTGATGCAAATGCCGGTCAAGGCGCAAATGCCGGTCAAGGCGCTGCCGGTCAAGATGGAGCTGGTCAGAATGCCGCTGGTCAAGATGGAGCTGGTGCAGGTGCTAACGGACAGGACGGCGCAGGTCAGAATGGTGCTGGCCAGAATGGTGCTGGCCAGAATGGTGCTGGTCAAAATGGTGCTGGCCAGAATGGTGCTGGCCAGGATGGTGCTGGCCAAAATGGTGCTGGTCAGGATGGTGCTGGTCAAAATGGAGCTGGCCAGAATGGAGCTGGCCAAAATGGAGCTGGCCAGAATGGTGCTGGCCAGAATGGAGCTGGCCAGAATGGAGCTGGCCAAAATGGAGCTGGCCAAAATGGCGCTGGCCAAAATGGTGCTGGCCAAAATGGTGCTGGCCAAAATGGTGCTGGCCAAAATGGTGCTGGTGCCGGTGCTGGCGCGGGTGGACAAGACGGCGCTGGTCAAAATGCTGGCGGCGCAGGTGCCGGTGCTGGAGCAGGCGGCAACGATGGTCAGCAAGCCCAGGGCGGTAACAGGCGAAACCGTGACCGGGTGAAGTTCTCCAAACGCCAATGGATTGCATAGATGGGTTGTGGCAACGAACTAATTGGTGGTTTCCTGATACGGCGTGCACTGTACTTGTGGCGGAGGTGAGCAATGGCAGAACTGGGTTGAACGCAAGTACTTATCGAGATGGTTGGATCCTTATATATGCGGGGCTGCCTAATCAATGGTCTTTCTACTGTTCTCTCGTCTTGCCTATTTCCTTGCCTACTTCCTTGGGTCATGGGTCTTAACCGGTAGTGTCTCCGACTCATCGACCTAGGAATGGCAGGTTTCTGGCTTGCAGATAAGTACGTGCACGAGGGTGGGGCATCAGGGTGTGCAATTCTCCTTTGGGGTCAGCAACATGCCTGAAGGTACCTCTCGGAGTCGTTCTAGCGGTCCGGAGGGTCCCTTAAGTCGGTAGGCTTTGGTTGTAGGTAGTATAAACTAATGGGCCGCTCTCATATTCCCAAACTTGTCTCTCTCCGAGGTCAGATTTACTCTCTAAATTATTTCTATCATCGTGTCACACGCCTCCGTGCTGTAGTGGGCCATACGCAGGTCTCAAAGAAATATGACCCAGCTTTCCTGGGGATCTCCTGGATGCAGTTGCTTGTATATTGTCTTATCTTTAAGTATGAGGAGTATGGATGCGGCTCAAAGGACCCCCATCCCAGACCCCCATCCAGACCTTCTAGCCACCTCACAGCCCGAAGCTAGGTGCCAAAAATAAAGATAGTTCCGTACACACCACAACTTGCTATTGCTATTCAGAAGGGTATAGGCAACCCATCACGCTCATTTACGGCAGCTACTCTTTTGGGCATTGAATTAATTGCCTTATTAATCTCCTCCAGCGTGATTTTATCTCATTCCTCCTCTATAGCCCTGCGTAATTCTGTCGGATCAAGAATTAGCCCTCTATTCTTCAGCCTCTGTTTGATTGTCCTCCAAATCGTCTCAATAGGGTTAAGATCTGGCGATTCTGGAGGATTTAATTCGCATTAGATCCCTAATCGTTGCTTTGCTTGTTTGTACTTGTTATCTTTGTTGCTGTAGGTGCCATGGCTATTATCGTTATCCTCTAAAAGTATCTAATCTGACTTCTAGTTCAAAGCAATAACACCCTCTATGTCAGGAGAGCTATGGTTGGGCCTAATATACAAGACGAAGCGTGAAGAAAAGGAAACGAAAGTGGGAACACAACGCTTTATATACATGTCCGTGCCCCTTATCTCGCTGAGGCCAGGTACAGACAACTGTGGGTACCTGTCGTCAGTGATGGCTAGAATAGCGGCGGGGAGCTGGGTCCGAGATGAGCTCTGTGAGCCATGGTCAGTGCCACAGGGAATATGGTCCTTGGCGTAGGTCGCGGGAGGATTCGTAACACTCTAAAATCCTTATATAATCAGCTTGAGTAAGCCGCCTTGAGCCCTCTATGCCAGTATAGAAGTATAGCTGACTCTTAAAATTATAATCAATATATGTAAACACGTACTAAATTTGGTTACGCTATTTTAAATAAAATTAAGTTTTTTAAGGTATATTTTAAGCCTTTTTATTATAATAATAATAAATTTAAGTCTATTATTATAAGCTATAAGAAAAGTAATATTTATTACTAAAATAATAGTTATAAAAGTTCTTTTCTATCTAATATTAGCGCTTAAATCCTTAAATTACACGCTTTTTAATTAGTTAAGGATTTTGTAATATATTTTTTCTATTTTATAATATACGTCCTAATATTATGCTTAGCCCTCAGTGAGCTTGCACTGAGCAGCTGTTCGTCGTTCAGACAGCTGGGATGTGGATTTCTACCTTCTCGTGGTATCCGGTGTGAGTACTCACGTAGCTGAGCCCAGCGCGCGACGAAACCAAACGAAATCCGCGGCCTCACAGGCGAAACGCGTGCGTTTCACACGCGTCAAACCAGCGACTGCAAATAAGGGGAATTGGCTTTTGAAAACCACCCGACTCTTGTTTATCTGACTCGTACTCAGACCCGAAACTGATCCTACCATCAGTGGATGTGATATCGCTCTATTCAAGAGATAGGACACCCCTGAGCTTGTCCCCTCCGAGCTTACGCGTCGCGCGCAAGTAGGCGGCGACTCGCTAGCTATTTGGCAGAACCTCGTTAAGGCTCAGACCTTACGTACGAAGACCCTTGTTAAGGCCGAAGGACTATAGCGTTACGGAGTCATCCCTAGGAATCACAGGCGCCTTAGTACGCGACCTCTGCAGAAACACGGGCAGTCTACAAATGAAGGGACACTTGGAACGACTTCGTACGGAACTCGTTAAAGCGCGGCTATAGGCACAGCTGTACGGAAGGCATCTGTTAAGACATAGGGGACACAAGCTTGGTTAGTAGACGAGGAGCAAATACACGGCTGGCATGCGTGTACGATGCGAATCGCCTGCAAGACACGGTCGGTCTGTATGAAGGAGACTTCTGCAGATAACGTGAAGCGAAGGATCCTACGGATCTGACGTGGGGCGTGGTGTACAATGGCAGCCACTGAGGAGACTGTCTGTACAGCCCGAGAGGACAGTACGCGCGTGTCGGTACATAAAGAGCCTGGAACAGCTATCTCACTCGTACTGGGAGCCTGCGCGAAGCATGCGTTTTGTATGCGGACCAAAGCGATATCGTTCTAGCTGGCTGCCGGTGTTATGTGCTTACGGAGTAAACTACGGTTGGAGCGTGGACAAGGGTTTTGCCTGTGGCCTGAGTCCTGAACGTACGTTAATATAACAAAGGGTGAGCTTTAGAGCAAGAGTCCTAATGGGCGTATGGGGAAAGCGTGGTAGAGACCTAGTAGGGGGATGCGAACTCTACGTTGTATTATTAGTATCTGATAGTACAATAAAATCGTGGGCTTCTGCGATAGGCCTGCTAACCTTATGCGTTTAGACTGCGTGGCAGGCACGACCAGGGAGTGTAGTCTTAATGTTAAGCCTGGACCTTTCAGAGGCCTTTGATAACGTCCCTCACAACAAGCTGCTAGATATCCTCAAGCAGAAGGGCCTCCCGGATTGGCTTATCCAAGCTGTTGCATCCTTTCTACGTGCGAGGCGCACACGTATTGCATATACAGGGTATGAAAGCGACTGGATTGAGACCAACACAGGCATCCCGCAGCGCTCCCCTCTCTCGGCAATCTTGTTCCTATCCTTTATATCTGGCCTGCTAGAACAGTTCTAGGACCCAGAGAAGGGAACGCTAGGATTCAGCTTTGTAGATGACACCTACCTAGTAGCATGGAGCGAAAGCGCACAACAAAACTGCCGCAGGCTAACCGCAGCCCATTCGCAGTGCCAACGCTGGGCGGAAGCATATGGCGCTAAGTTTGCCCCTGACAAGTACCAGCTAATGCACTTCACACGAAGCAGGCGCCACGCATAAGAGGACCTTACATCAACCGTCCAGATAGGTGGCCATCAAGTAGCAGTTGAGAACAAGGCAATCAGGGTGCTAGGGGTATGGCTAGACCCTAGGCTTACCTGGAACGAACATATAGCGCATGCGACTCGCAGGGGTATCGCAGCCTCTGAGGCCCTAGCAAGACTAGCTACCTCTACTTGGGGACCATCAACACGCAACTCGCGGCTACTATACACTGCAGTAGTCAGGCCTACTCTGCTGCACGGCGTACAGGAGTAGGGTTCAAGCATGTGAGGCGCAGGGGAAGCGTTAGTAAAAGCCGCAACCAAACCACTTGAAAAGGTCCAGAACAGCTGCCTCCGCCGCAAGAAAAAGAAACCTAGATTCTATTAATTAATATCTATATTACAAATATAAAGCAACATTATATAATTAAAATAAAAGATTATTAGGTAAAAAAGGAGATCACTAGAACAGTGAATGTTATATAGGACCGCATATAAAACGCACGCTCATCACAGTTATGCTACAGGCTGAGGACCAGCAGAGAGAATGCCGCCGCTAAAGCGCAACAGAGAATCCAAGAAATGCGCAAGTGGACAGCAGAGTAACAGCGCTGAAGGCGAACCGCATGTGCAATGCAGGCTTGCCGAACACCGCAGGGCAGAGGCCAGGACCC